TGTTAATAAATAGTAAATATCATCATAAGAAAATATTTGACTACAATTTAGCCAAAATCTTTCAGTTTTCTTTTCACTTGTAATGGGATTAAAATTGTTAAAAGTAATTGAAAAACATGATAAGAGTTTGTTTTTGATTTCTTTGACTTAAACTTCATTATATGGTTCTTTCAATAAATAACGAAAATCATCAAAAGTTAATTTTTTGATATCGTCTATTAGCAATACTAGTTCCTGAATAGATGTTAGCTTATTAATCCCTAAATGCAGATGTGCTAAGCGTGTAGCTAAGGGATTTTTTAGTAAACTTTTTTTATAAACATCAATATCATAAAATAAAACAAGCTCATAACCCAATGGACTCATATGGTTATATGCATTTGAGTGCACTGTAATTACTTGTCGATATCTTTCTTATTAATATTAATTGTTTTAACTTTGAAAGGACCATACACAGAAATGTATATTTCTTGAAAAATTTCTATGATAAATAATTATCATTAATAAGTTAATTTAAATATAAAAAATCGGGTAAAAATTAAATATGAAAGTGACCTTAATGAGATCTCTACATAAGTTATATATTTTTCCATTTCTCTAACCCTCTGATAGCTTTCACTAACCATAAGGTATTGAAATGACAGAATAATTTTTTCGAATTAAACTTTTTTATACGTAATAAAAAATTAGTATGTTTTAATATTTTTGACTATAGTGTCATAAAAACAATATGGTAAAAGTAGTTACAGATTTCATAAAACACCATAAATGGACCTTCGAAACTCATTATCTGAACTAGCTTAATACACAGAAGATATTAGCAAAAGTTTAAAGGATGATTGCAAGATAAGATCCAATGCTAAAACGTATTTTCGACAATTTGGATTTACTAAGAAACAAGTAGAAGTTCTTATTCCTATCTGACCTTCTAAAAAGCGTGAAAAAGGCAGGGATACTGTTAATAAAATTGCCCAAGAAATTGTGAAAAATGAAGTTACGGGATTGTGAAACTGATCATCTCAAAAAAGAAGCGACCAAAATTTCTCATATTACTACTGAATCAAATAAAATTCAGGCACGACTAAGGTTGCTAGACGAAATCAAAAGTTTAGACAGATGTCTAAATGGTAAAAGTAAAACTTAGTTAAATTATATTAAAACCTTATTAAAAAATCTGTGAAATTTGGAAAAAGGTAAAACTATATCAAAGCTTATAAAAATGGCAAAACTATATCAAACACTTAGTAAAAATTTAGCGAAACTAAAAGTTTTACCATTTTGCTAAATCCAAAATGAGTTTAGACAAGCAACCTTAGGCATGATGGTTTGTACTTGACAAATTTGAAGGTGTTGATTGGCCTAAACACTTTTTCTTAGAACCAGTTCAGGAAAGATTCAAGAAATATGATTTCTTTTTATTACCTTCTAAGGAAGATCTGGTTGATATAATAATAATATTAATTCGCAATTCGTGAGAAATGGAAAGATCTACATCACATTTTATATAATGATTGGCAGGGATAATAGTAATAATAAAATGCATTAATGTCAAGAATCTCTAACTGTTCTAAATTTAACTATGAATAAATGACCAATACTTGATGTAAACTCGTTTCTGTTGGCCAAATAGTATCCTAGTTGTATTATGGGAAATACTCAAGAGAATTGTGGATTATAAGAGGTGACAGCAATCTAGAAGAAGGCATGTTACTTTATCCTATTTGTGTGGGCTGGTAAACTGTTATAGAACAAAATAACAGATGTTTTTACATGCATATAACTGAAGGAAATAAAAATAGGGAGATACTGTTAGGGTATAGGTGTCACTCTGGTAATAAATCCAGCGATATTGAAACAGATTAAGTTATGCGATAACAAGTTTATACCAATGAATTTTTTCTGATTCAAAGACAAAATTTTCTGGACCTTTTGTTTTAGGTTGGAATAATAATGAATTTCTGAAAGCCTTATTAAAAGATGTTCATTTCCAAGTGTTTACTATTAGGATAGATGGTAAAATTTTGATATATATTATAAATATAAATATTAGTGAACAAAAAAATACAATAGAAATTATACTGCATCATTTATTGGTGAATATAATAAGAAACGTGTTTTATTTGTTCAAATAATTTAATCTGAAAATCATAAAATTTCAATACATCAAAAGGATAATGAGCTAATAATTTTTTTTGGTTCTACTCCAACAGAATCGTGGAAAAATATAAGAGTTTACAAAAAATATTGTGGTACACAATTGTTTGGCTTAGAACATCCAATGATACAAAAGGCCATTAATGTACAACAAATTCCTACATGTTTACCTACATTTTGGAATAATAAACACTTATGAACAATCTTTTTAGTTACCATTTAAGAAAACGAATAATTAGTAATATTAACTGGCAACAATTTTTTCAGAATTGGCTTGCAAAAGAAAAGACAATTATCAAATTACATGATATTTTAAAAAAAATATACCCACCAAATTATTTGCATGATGAGTGAGAACTTTGAGCATAGTATGCAATATTAAGAGCTGCTGGATATACAGAGATTATCCCATTTTCTAAAGATCAATCGGAGGTAATATGTTATTAATAATAATTGATGATCACTATTACTATTAAAATCTAATTAAACAAACATTTTATCTATTTAGTATAAGTTTAGTCTCGAAATTCTGATTCATTGATAGAACAAAATACCTTGGAAAATTTATATTGTAATGGATTCCTAAATGCCATTTCATCTAATGTATTTAATTCAAGCAATCAATTTTAGAAGTATTTTTAAAAATCAATAGAAGAGAATAAAAAAGACCATGATAGAAAAATACAAATTTTATCAATCATTGCAAATGATTTTGAATATGAAGAACTTCAAAAAAATCTTAAGGTAAATTATATTATTACTTATATCAAATAATTAAATATGCATTATATATTTACAATTATAATTAATATCATAAACAGGTTTCATCTAAAACAGTAGCAAAAGCTAAACATCATTGTGAAATTAACGGTCTGGGATATGCAGTAATAGATAAACCAATCATTACACAAGTTTGAATTACTAAGAAATAAAAAAGCAATTTCAGAATTTCTTTGCATACAAAACTTGAGTTCTTATAAGATAGATACAAAACTGGTAAACTACTCAAATATTTAAAAGATCAAAAAGAAACATTATAGCAAAAATATTTTGAGTTGTATCTCACTGGTATGAAAAGAACAACATTTTTAGCATGTTTAAAAGATAGACCTTATGTGTATAAGGAAGATTTGGAAGGTTTGTGTAGTATTTATTCTAAGTATGGATATGGTGTATTTGATGATCTTAAAAACTTTGATAATAGAAAGAATAAGTGAAAAAGAGCAACAGGTAGATATAATTGTAACGTTCAAAATTATAATTAATAAAAAATTATTATTAGAACCAATTAATTACAGAAATTAAAACTATTTGTCATCATTTAAAACGTAAATATGAAAAAGAACTTTTAATTAATTGCTTAAGACATACTTATCACGTTAAATGTCTTGAATATTATCTTTCATATGTCTTTAGAGAGTATAACGAGTCTCATTTATCTAATTGCAATCAATATAACAAAGTATCAGAATTTTTTAATCAACTAGCTTATATTTTGCTAGGTGATTTTGAACAAATTATAAAAAATAGGAAAAAACTTCAATATTACTGGTCTCATCAAGTGCGTAAGATATACCTCAATACTTAATTTAATGCAAACTTGCTTGCTCTTGATGAAGAAAATACCATTATTGTAGCAGACTATAAAATGAGAATTTTACCAAAATTAGCAAGAGAAATAAAATCAGATTTTAATAAAAAATCTGGGTGGACATTACATACAATGTTGATATATACAAAAACTAATCATCATGAATTAAAAATTAAAGCTTTTAATCATTGGTCTTCAGATACAGTTCAAGATGCATTTTTTATAGCATCATGCTTTGAAGTTTTCTTTAATTCATTTGAAAAAAAACCAAAGTGGGTAAGGATTTTATCTGATAATGGTGCCTATTATCATTGTGCTGAATTGATAGCTATAATTACAAACTGAAAATCTTGGTATAATGTAGAAATTCAAAGTTGGACTTTTTTGGAAGTAGGAGAGGCCAAAACAACTATTGATTCATATATTGCCTAGGTTAGTAAATAATTATATAATTCAAGAACTATAACTTACAAACTTTTATTATTTCTAGATTTCTCATGCAATCAAATGATATGTTAGGCTAGGACACAATATATCTGAAGGTCAAGATATAGAATAAGCAATTATAGGCATCAAGGAAATAATAGTTGCAAATATCAATCCAGATCGAAGACAGAAAGAGTTTGAATTTTAATGACCTGTTGATGGTGAATTTAGTGGCTTTGTACGTGGTTGTGCCCTTCCTAATTTTGGAAAATGGAATGATTTTTCTCCTTCTGCTATTAGTAAATCAATGAAGGGTGATGAATAATATTGACCAAATCCCTTGATAACTACACATACAAATACAAATTCCCAATGGATAATTCCAATACCATCGATAAATCAGAATAACTTTCAAAATGAAATAGCTAGAATAAAGAGATTGAAAAAAATAATGTCAAAGAAGAGTTAGAAAAAAGATCTTTTCATTATGATGAAAAAGAGATTTGGCCAAATTTAATTGCAATTTTAAATGAAAATATTGCAAATGAAACAATAAATAAAATAGCAGGTGATTTATTTTGAGTATATAATAAATTACAATAACAGACTAATCTTCTTTTTGTGTAGAAGTAAGTATATCAATTAACATGAATAGTACAGTGGAAAATAATAATGTTTCAGACATGAGAACTAAAAAAGGAAAGGGGAAAAAATGGAAAACAAGATTGAGTGAGTGAAATTGTTACAAAAAAAATGATATTTTGTATAATAATATCAGATATTGGTTTCTACAGAAACAACTATTTTCGATCTGATTGGGCTTTAAGAGAAAACCAAGAATATGAAAAGAAAGGTGATGGAAAACACATACCTGAAAGAGTATTGGAATTATTAAAAGGTTTTTTTCATGCTGGTGACGCCTATAAAAGTGAACAATATTTGGCAAAAGAAATGCTTAAAGCATTATAAAAAAAAGTAGAAATAGATGAGTTGGAGGAGAATGATATACCAAAATTGAAAACAATCGAAAATTGGATTAGCCGATATTCTTACCAATACAAACAAGCAATGGCAGAAAAAATTCAAAGCTCAGACAAATAATAATGTAAAAAATATGAACAATAACCCTTATTTAGAACAATTTAAATGGGTTTGAATAACTTTTTTCATTTTTTTTCTCTTTTGAATTATTTCAAATGGACAGTTAGTACTTATAATCCTGAGCTGAAAAGGTATTTGCACGAAATCTATCAAATAAAGCGTATATTACATATTAATAATGGTGATGTTTTTTATTATGCAAGTTTGGGATGTTTTCTGATTAAATCAGGTATTAGTGTAACATAACTTTTTTCATTTATTATTTTTTTATAATTAATTTCGTAAAATTGCCCGATTTACATTATGCATTTTTTTTCCATTTCTGGCAAATTGCGAATTAATTATTTAAATTATTTTTTTTGAAATATTTTTATTGATTCTTTTGAATATATATTAGATAAATCATTTTAATGAAATAAATCATTATTTTAAATATAATATATATATTTTTTGTTTTAATATCTTTTATTTACATAATATATGATAATATGAGGTGAGTGCTACAAAAAGGGACCAAATTGTAAAAAAAATTTTTTTTAAAATAATTAAAGTTCTGGATTGAATAATAAAGTTACAGTCAAACCTCTATATAATGATATGTCGGGACATATAGAAATTTTTTTTAAAAATATTGTTATATCAAATTATACCGATATTTATATGACCTTAAGTATAGTGAGTAAATAAAATTTTATCAGTATATAAAGTTTTTAATAGTATATTAGTATATAGAATATCGGTATATAGAGGTCCGACTGTACATCTATTTTACTTAAGAATAAATTTTTGAAAAAAATTTCAATTTGGTTCCTTTTCGCAGCACTCACCCCATATAACTATAAAAATAATTTTTTTTATAGCAGCAATAGAAAATTAAGATACCGTTTACTAATTTTCCCATGTAATAAATAAAAATCATTCATTATACACTTCAAAATTTATAATGCTATAAAAAAAGGGGGAATTTTTGTGGAAGAAAACAAATAAGGAAAAACAAATTTTACTATTACATTCCTATAAGCAGTATTATCATGGGACGCAAACACAGACATGAACCAGACTGAACTGTCTGTGTCTATGTCTGAGATTTTTTTATATCTAGGACTTTTTGTTCGCATTAATGCTGACCATATCTCTTGTTAATTCTGGCCAAAAGGTATCAGTTCATGTCCCAACTGTCCTGCGAACACAGTCCTGGATATGGACTTTTGGACGTAATCCTGCAACAATAAATGAGCTCATATGGTAAAAAATTCAGATTTATATCAGCCATACCCATTCTAATAATTGATATATTAATACAATATACACTCTAATGATGCAACAGCAGTTTTACTTGTGAAGAGTTTGGATGTTGTCGCATGGAGGGTGTTTTTTCTAGCGGTGAACCACTTTGATTTTTTCAGTACTTGAAGTCTTTGGCGATCCTCCCAATAATCTCCTGCCATCGCAAAGGAGAAATGACAATTGATTGTAAATAAAATACCTCCAAAAAAAAGCAATTCATATTATATAATATACCTTCAAGTAGTGTTGTCACAGGACATTCTTGGACCATATGTTGGACATAGTGTTGGATATTCTTAAAATGCTTTAGACATAAAAAATGTACAATACTGCCTCCAAGATCACAAAATGATGAATCACTACTTCAACTAATGGCATTAAAGTTTTATTGATTACCAGCCTTGTCATTAGGAATGACCATGAGCGGTATATTTCATCAAACTTCAAATCCATAACATAAGAACGTCTAATTATCACACAAAATAATTAATATATCGAAAATAACAAATTTTCATGTAAATTCTTTCATTACAAGAGATACATACTCATGTTTAAAAATATGACAGCCTCACCTAGCCCACCTTTATCTTTTAATTGTTGATTTATCGATTCCCGGCCCTTTAATTGTACTTTTATTTAGTCCTTCTTTCATTGTAAAAGTGTATATCCGATGGGTTTAAATTCTGAATTCAATATCGGAACACCACTTACTAGGCATGATAGATCTGGCCTGGACTTTCTCAAACAGGCTCAGTTTAATACAAGTTTATATTCTTTTTTATCAGAGAAAAAAGACGAGAAATTAGATAAAGAAAAGTGCAGCAGTGTTCTTTCTGTCATCTTTGATGAAATACCTCGGTATATTATTTACAATAAAAAAACCCCATAAATAAGTCACAAATTTCCACTATTTTCCATGAAAACTTCATTGCCCAAAAATGATTGAAAGATTCTTCTCGAAGAGATGCGAAGATTCGTGATTGGCGTTTCTAAAATCATTTTCCACTCTTTGATTTGTGAACATTGGGTAAGGACATGGATATTGAAGTATAATTATGGACAATAAGGCTCTAAATACCATAAAGTTATTCAGTATATAATTATAACGAAATCTTTTTGTAATATTAATTTGATCAACCAATTTATGAGATATGCGAAATCAAGATATAAGACCAGTCTAATATAAAATCGTCATTAAAGATCAGATCGATAGGCCCAAATTCTGCCGATTAGCCATATGTTATAAAAATTACGAACGAATAAAAAATGATTATGCACGAAGAAATTAAAGAATTAAATAAAACTGATAGAGAGTATCAAAATGCAAAGAAGGGGAAAGGGGAAAGAGATTAGATCAGTTGGAGAGAAAGTTGGAGGACGAAGAATGGAAGAACGAAGGGCAGAAGAGAAGGTGGGAAGATAAAATAAAAGAGCTAAAAAAAGAAAAGGAGAAGTTGGAGATGACGAAGATGATGTGAGTGAACCAGACAATAAAGTTGCAGGATAAATTAGCTGGAATTACTGAAGAAAAAGGTAATGAATAAATTGCATAAAAAAAAATAGTCTTTCCCAATTGTTTACCTCTTGAATAAGAAATTTGCAGTAATGAAATATCAATGTCTTTTTCTTATCTTAAAGCACAAAAGTTGCCTGAAAAATTAGAGTTTTGTGATTCCCATCCTCTTCTCATGGGTAGTGGTTCCACTTAGGACTTTCAAGCTTCAGATGCTTTGAAAGAAAAACTTAAGGATGCTATTTATGATCATTTCAGATGTTAGAAGGATAGACAACTTAAAAAAACAACAATACCGCAATACTTCATTCTAGCAAGAGCTGGAGAAGGAAAATTTCGTATTGCACAAGAATTGCCAAAATTGCTAATTGAATGTACAAATGATGATGTTGACTTACAGAATCGACTTAAGTCTGCTCTTGTATTTAATCTATTATTTGAAAATGGAACCAAACTATTTTGAGGAGAAGAAGTTGATAGCTATTATGTAATTAGGAATCGAATGCTTTTTCAATTATTGAAGCATCCTAATGAAGCTTAGAATGATTTCAAGAATCAATATGAAGTAACACCAGAAAAAGTATTGCGCCATATTGCTAGACATCGCAATCAAGAATTTGATGATCTGAAAGTAATTATTATTCTAGATGGTCTTCAAGTGGCAATGAATGATTCTGATGATGATAAAAATAAAGAATCTTTTTTTTACAATTGCATCTGCTTACTTGGCATTCTTTCGCTTTTCGGTCCATTCATTTTTGTTACTTGTTGTACAGCTACCATTAGCATGCTCATTCACAATTTCCTTGCCAGTTCACAAAAGAGAGTTTTTCTTCCAGTAACATTATTAAAACCTCTGAAAATAAACAACAACCCAGTTTTTATCGATAATTCAGTCATGAAGATGCTTATAAATAATATGGGTGGTCATTAGCATGTGTTAGAGGCTTTAGAAGTGTTTGTTAGAGAAAAAGATTTAACAATATTAATTTTATTGATCTAATAAATAATGTACGATCAAAACTTATTGATAATTATCAAGGATGGTTAAGTAAAACTATTTATTTGAAACCAGTTCTACGCATTATTCTTTCACGTACACAAGTTGACAAAAATCAAGATATTTCTACATTTGAAGGGAAAGGATTAAAAATAGATGATATAACACAATTTGGTCTCATTCGATTTGAGAGTCAAAGTACGGATTAAGTGGTTGGATATCTTACATGTCCGTACATTTGGCTATGAATAATGGCGCATGTGTTATCAAATGATAAACTTTTACAGAATTGGAATTTTAACTATTACAATGAAGTACGCAATAGAACAGAGGACTCAAGCATACCACCCGGTTGCCAATACTGGCAAAATTTTGAGTACTTTGTTGCTCAATTTCGCTCTCTAAAATCGAAT